CAGAAAGCGAGAAATCACCCCCCAGGGGGGATGGTCACGCCGCAATCCCTTCTCTTCCATTCTCCTCTCGGGATCTTGGGCATGCACACACACGCGCCCGGCATGAGTTTTAAGCCACCGGGTCTGGGATGCGAACTGCGGTTGACTACGTGGGAGTCCATCAACATAGCCATTACGCTAACTGCTGGTTCCCTAAATAAAATATTTTTTAAAAAAAGAATAAAAGAACCTACTGAGTACGTTAGGACATTTTCTCCCTCCTGATTTTTGCCAAAGGGTGTGTGTGTGTTGAGCTTGCTAGAGAGACAGAGACGGAATGCAAGAGACCAACCCCCAGGGGAGATGGCCATACCACAATCGCTTCTCCCCCATTCTCCTCTCAGGACCATGGGCACACATGCACATGTGCGTGGGGTGATCTTCTAGCTGCCGGGTCCGGGACTCAAACCATGGTTGGCCATGTGAGAATTCAGTGCCTTAACTGCCATGCCACCTGCTGGCCCCAGAATTTCTGTTATTTTTTAAATCTGGGTTTCTGAAAGGACTCATAGGAGATAGAAACAGAAGATGCATTCTAGGTGACCACTACAAATTTCTCTCTGTAACCAATCAGACCCAGGCCGGTCACTTTATAACAGGACTTACCTGATTTGCTAACAACCCAGGCTTAGGATGCTTTGTAAGATCATGATGCCATTAGTGCTAATTCAAATTACGGATTTTAAGTATTAGACTGAACCTTTGAAACTGGGTCTAGGTCAAATTATACCTGCATTGTGCCAACCTAGTAGTCCTTTAAAAGTTCTTTGTTTTGGGACTAGTAGTTAGCATAATGGCTATGTCGCTGGACTCCCATGTAGTAGACCACGGTTTGAGTCCCGGACCCAGTGGCTTAAATTCATGCCAAGCACATGTGCGTGCCTGCCCAAGATCCTGAGGGAAGAATGGAGGAGAAGGGATTGCGGTGTGACCATCCCCCCTGCAGTGTGATTTCTCGCTTTCCGTCTCTCTGTCTTTCTGGCAAACTGCACATGCCCTATAGCAAAAAAACCTCTCTAAAAAAAAGTTCTTCATTTTGCCCTCCTGCTACGGTCTCCTCTGCTATCGTCTGTTTACATGCCACTGAACTAGGGGGAAAGCTTCTTTACAGCTGCTGACATCTCATCTTCATGGCATCAGCAACTATTAGGTCATCGAGAGGGTCATGACATATTTTTCTATGCAAAAAATGCATCATGACGGGAACCAGCAGTTAGCGTAATGGCTATGTCGCTGGACTCCCATGTGGTTGACCACTGTTCGAGTCCAGACCCGGTGGCTTAAACTCACTC